ACCTTCCAACTTCAAATATTCAAATAATTTTCTCAAAATATAATCTATTTTATAATATATACATCAAATTTTTATAATTTTAATTTTATCTAATTTACATAATATAATATTTTTTTTTTTATATAATACAATAATTATATTCTATAATATAAAATATTCCAAAAAAAATTCATTTTATTAAAAAAATCCATAATCCATCATTATATAAACCAAAATTTTATAAAATATTGGGTAAAAATATCTACCCATCAATTAAAAAAAAAATTAATATTAAAACATTAATTTTTATAAAAAACATAAACAATAATTAATAATAAAATTAATAATAAAAATAATAAAATAAAAATAATAATAATAAACATAAATATAAATTTAAAAAATACAAAAAATAAATATAATAACATTAATAAAATAATAATAATTATATAAATAATAATAAATTTAGGAAAAATTAAAATCAATAATATTATTAATATCAATAAAAATATTATAATTATTAATAAAACAATAATATTAATAATAATTTCAAAGATAATATAATAATAATAATAAAAATAATAATAATAATATTAATAATAACAAGAATAATAACAACAATAATAACAATAATAACAATAATAACAATAACAATAACAACAATAATAACAATAACAACAATAACAACAATAATAATACTAAAAATATTAAAAACAATAAAATTAAAAAAACAATAATAACACTAATAACAATGATAACAATAATATCAATAATACCAATAATAACAATAATAACGTTAAAAACAATAATACAATAATAACAATATAAAAATAAATAATATATATATATTTATACTTGTGCATATATATACATAATTATATATATATAATTTTGTATATATATATTATATTAAATATTATAATCATAATATACTTCAATTTGCTAATAAATATACATATTATAATTATAATATAAATATTTTTCGAAAATATTTATCCAAAATTTATCCAATATATATATATATATTAATTAAACTATTTTTATTATTATCATTATTAAAAACAAATAATATAGATATATTTCGATATATGTTGATATATTTTAATATATGTATATATATATTGATATCATTTGATTTATGTTGATACATATATATATATATAGGAATATACATGAACAAACAATAAAAATATAAACATTGTATATATATATGTATATATATATAAATAATTATATAGAATAGTTTAGATCTATGAAATATAGGAATTAAATCATTTATGTGTATGAATATGTATATATATATGATTATATATGTATTCAATATCAATTTAAAAAATGAAGTTTTCTTTTTTCGAGGAAAATTCTTGATTGATTACGTAATGCCTCAGATTCAATTCAGCAAGAATGTCTTGACGAAATTCGGCGAAACCCCTAATTCCCTATCCATCGCAGCTGCGACGCGACCTTCCTGTTCCTTTTTCAACATGACCTTGACTTGTTCAAAAGGTTCGAAGAATGAGTTCAATCCTATTCGGTTGGCTTCAATCCTCCTCAAGAATATGATTTCCGATTTCAACGAAGGGAAAGCACATGACATCAAGACGTCATATCTGGTTGGTGGTATACCTATATACCCCATTTTGCCATTGCCATTGCTGTGTCAAGTTGACACGTGGTCTATGAGCGTGCAGCACCTTCAGCTCATCGGGAGTGATAGTCCGGCTGCTCGCTGTTTGAAACTGACCATCCTGCTGTCTTCCAATCAAAGCTTCGTGCGTACCTGGGTGGTGGGGGCAGCGGCCTTGCAGCCCTTTGCGCAACAGTTCTGATCGGACTTGGGGCAACCTCAACAGCAATAGCGTCGTGGGCTTCTTGCCCAAGGCTCCACAGGTACACTGGTCAAAACTGACCACTGCAAAGCACTGCAACCCCTTGAGGAGTTTGACGGCTGGCATGGCCCAGATGCTGGCTGGCGAAAACCGCCGGCTCCGCACCGGATATTGGGGGTGCTCCAAGAACCCACTGAAACCCAATGCAGCCATGATGGAAAGGAGATCAATCAGGAATCTCAAGAGGCTGTCGCCTATCCAGATTTGAAGCTGTTCACGACTCGTCAGTCCGGGCAGTCCAGTTGGCTCCTCACTCAGCTGAGCGCAATGGTCGTGGCCCTTTGGTCCCTTCCAGCACATGGTACCTGGCAGCTGTGTAGGTTTCGCATGGAGGACCACCTCCCACAGAAACCAATTGGCCTGAAGCGGCTCTGTCACGCCACCATTTCAATGCCCCTGGAGTAGCCAAGTCCGCATGTTGCCTTTGCATACATAGGTCAACCGATATCGTGAAGATGTGTGCCCCGGACTGTGCTACAAAATGATACCCCTCTGAAAAATACGAGTTCGTCAGTTGGGATGATTGTTCCCAGCTGAATGGAAAAATAATCCATTCATGTCCCAAACCACCAACCAGTGTATATATACATATATAAATATTATATTATATATATATACCTATTATACCCCCATTAAATCCCCATATTAACCATCATTAACCATATTCCGTCATATTATTTTTTGGAGTGAACATCATATTCCGGTCTTAAGGATTCGTCAAAATTCTGGGTCTGAACATCACCGAGACTTTAGGGCGCTATCACCCAACGCCCCAGGCGGCCATTGATGGCAACCAAGGTCAAAACTCTTCTAGTCTTGTCTGTCCAATATGACCCATTTTTGTTTTTCCTATTTTTCCTGGATCGGATCGGCGATTTCTTGTTGGATGCCCATGTTATCATGTCAATCATCCGGCTTTCTGTAACTTCTGAAACAAGTTTTTCTTTTGGAGGGGTGCATCCCAGTTAGTAGGTGGCGAGCACTTCATAGATACCCACATATAATTGGGGATACTTTCTATGTAACTGCATGGGTATAACTGGCTTAGAATATGGTTTTAACAAACATTTTCTCTGGGGATCGCACATCCCAGTGTACCTATAATAGATGGAGATGCCATGATGGTTCGCCGCATGTTCTAGCAGAGCTTTGATCCTTCAAAGCTTTGAATGCCAATAGGACTATTCCAAGCAGGAAAAAGACCCGGAATTATTGAGAGACTGGTGGACTAATAACAAAATAAATAACAAAATAATGAGTAAGGGGAATTGGAAAGATGAAGAAATCACTCTTAAAAATGAAAAATCACTCATCTATATATATATATATATGCATGTATATATGCTTTGACGGCGTCCATCCTCAAATTTGCCAGGCTCAATTTGCATTCCGAAACCAACCTGGAAGACACAATACATCCCCCTTCTTGTCTCACAAGAACCGAACCCCCAAAATACTAAGCAATCGATATATTCTAGATTTGGGTATGGGTCAAAATTAAGTACTCCAATAAAAAATTGAAGTACCAAAAGAATATCTCTGGGTCCAAAAAGTGATAAAAAAAGGTACTCCAATAATTTGGGTCCAAAATATCTGTGTGATCCAAAAAAAACCCTGAATTTTTGGATCCAAAGGTCCCATCATTCCCCCCTGGTGAGGTTTCTGACAGTGAGGTCGTTATCATTTCCCCTCTGGGTCTGTCTGAAAATCATTAAACATATCGTGTATCCTCAACTATATATAGCTGGTTGGTGGCATATGATATACTAACTATCTGGTATGTTAATGATATGGTATATGATGTATTAATATGGGATATGATATACTAACTATCTGGTTGGTGGTATACCTACCCCTCCGAAAAATGATGGAGTTCGTCAAGTTGGAAGTACTATTCCCAATATATGGAAAAATAATCCAAATGTTCCAAACCACGAACCAGGCCATTTCATATATCAATTAATAGGGGCAGTGATCGGGAACCACTGGGTTTAGGGCTATTTTCAGACAAACCCAGATCTCTTGGTTGAATTGCTGTCCCAGGTTCTGTCTTTCCAGCACCCATCGCAGGGTTTCAGCAGCCTCCAAGGGGGTCGTTGGGGTACAGGCAGTGGGCTGGGAAGGGAAGTGCTATGGATTTAACTATGGTGATTTGACTTGTATAGTTAAAATGGGGATTTCAACTGAGATTTCTGGTAGTATACAGTATATCTATATATCTAGAGTTAATGAGTTTATAAGCCAACTTAAATCTGGGCAGCTAAAATATGCTGAAATATCGATGTGGGGATATTGTTTGTGAACTAACTATAATGTGATATGTTCACGACATATTCATGCGAAATGGGATGAGGATGGGATAAAAAACCCTTCGGCGTCAAACATGGCTGGGAGCTTCCTGCCTCCTCCGTGGGCTGAAATCATCTGCTCCCGGTGGCCAATAGTGTCAACTCCGGATTAATAAACAATGGTTTATGAAAATTGTGGGGGTACCCTGCAAATAGTCACTTTAGATGATACATAATAAATGGTATCCCCCCAATTAAACAGTCGTTTGGGGTTTATTAATCCAGGGTTGACATTAGCATCCAATTTTTGGCACGCGGCACGAACTTCAGAGCGCCTGCGGCAAAGGTCTCACATCAAAAAATCGGCTCCGGCGGATGACGACCCGCGATCCAAGATCAATCGGCAGCGAGGTTTCTTCAACCGTTGTCCCCTGGCCGAAGATGAAGCAGTGACAACGCCCGGCCCTGGCCGAAGATGAAGCAGTGACAACGCCCGGCCAAGGATCATGCACCGTTTGATTGGAAGTTCATCTATAAATGGGAGATAGTTAATTGTCATGTTTGATTACCGGAGGGTTACTGGAGGGTATAAAGATCATGAAACATTGTCTAAACACATATTGAGACAGGGCCAACACTGATCTGCCAAAAATATTTATCCCCCTGGTAATTTAATATAGCCAGGGAACATAGCCCATTTAGTTCGATGGTTTACCTATTAAAACATGGCGTTTTTTTCAATATCTCCGCAAGCTGTTTGCCTGTCTTTATTGCCGCCGGTGCGGTTTGAGGTCGACATGGTCTTTACTAGGATCCTTTTTCTGGTTAACAATGCACATAAAAATATAAGCACTATTAATGCAATAGTATACACCATATTATATAAACACATATATATTTAATATGCACACGAATCACAGCGTTTTATTTTCCACTGATGTTTGGTTTCTTCAAACGGGCCCCGTTAATCATGGTCTTTCCCATCCAAAATGACTCTCCCCGGATTCAACGTGATTCAACGGGCTCGAAGTCCGCAAAAGCTGTGCTCAGAGACTACCGGTGTTCGACTACTTGGTGGCGAACTTCCCAGTTAGTAAGTGGGATATAACCCCAACTATAAGTGGATTAACCCTACTTATCCAATTTATGACTGGGGTTATGACCCACTTACGAGCCGTGGGATGAGCCACCAAGTACCACATGGCCCCTCTGTGTCACTGGATGAAACGGGATTTATTTCATACGACGTGCGGATCCCAGTGATGTTTGTTGGTTTACAACCCCATCGAACTATATTTACAAGCAGCATAAACCCCAGGTACGCTGGTTGTAAACTGTTGTAAACCAACTTACCTAGGGGTCCTCAGGTTGTTTGCCAGTGAAGACATCCAGCAGTATATTCCACAGAACAAATGTTTGGCTCAGGGATCGGCATCAATGAAGGATTGGCATCGTGGCTGCTAAACCCAGATAATTTTTCTTCGTCGAATCGGATTATGATCATCCCCAATAAAGGAAGTATTAATGGGTACTAAAATCCCATGTACTCATCAACCATCATTTATGAACTTGAAATCCCAACTTATATCTCCTTCTTTTGATGGTCAAGACATCTTAAAACATCATTTATGAACTTGAAATCTTGAAGTCCCAACTTATATCTTCATCTCTTGCTGTAAAAAAAATAAAACCCTTTATCCAGCTATATCCGTATTTTTGAATGTGTTGAAACGCCCCTATTCCATGGTGAATCATCAACTGACCGGGGGTTGAACAAGTTGAAGTCGGCAGCCGCCTTGAGACAGTCTGATGCCACATCCTCGTTGGGATTCAGCCGGCGTTCGGAATGTCATGGTGAGATTCTACTTAGTTATGGTGATGAATGGGAGAAATGGGGATGTCATAGTGTATTAGTTATAGTTTAATGGTGATAAACTGATCATATTGAATAACATTAACTGAGTGATGTACTGAGTTTACCACTCAACTATCATGGGGATAGAATGATGATATTCTTGGTGATATATCAATATAATGATGCATGGAACATGTGAATATCATGATAATCATGATTAATGTGGGAAAACCAATGCCATAAACCTATCACCAATGGGAATTTCAGGAACCGATTTATTGGAGGTACCTACCATATATAAGGCCTATTTTTCAGGCCTATGTAAGAGAATATCCCGAAAGCCATTGGTTGAAATCACAGCCATTGGCCCATGGCGACTCGGGGATGGTTCATGGCGCACCTGTGGAGGGGGTGTTACCCTCTGGTAAACATACAAAAAGCTATTGAAAATGGCCATACAAATAGTGGATTTACCCAGCTATAAAATGGTGATTTTCCATAGTTATGTAAACGTTTACCAGAGGGTATATCCCATCCTATCCCCATGATGATGGTTCCCTGGTTGGTGGCGCAATAACCATCTTAAGAAACATATGAGTTCTTCAATGGGAAGGATGACATCCCATATATGAAATGGAAAATCATCCAAATGTGCCAGAAACCACCAACCAGTTCCTCTACCTCTTACCCCGATTTTTGTTGGCGAAGTTCACATTTATAACATTTTGTAATCTTTACATGTGGCTACCCTCTGGTAGTTTAACATAGCTATGGAAAAACATGTGATTTACAGTTGATGTACCTATTGAACATGATGATTTTCCATAGCTTTTTGTATGTTTACCAGAGGCTATACGGGTTAAAACATGTTAAATCCCATTCATTTTCCCACTTGAATTGCTTAAAATCCATTGATTACCAACAATTTTTCATAAAATCTCATTCATATTCCCATGTTGATTGGTTAAATCCCATAAAATCACCATAAGATCGCATTAATCACAATAAAATCACCATTCATCACCATAAAATCCCTTATAAAGTCCCTTGACAATTCCCAACCAATAGGGCCTGGCTGCCCGACCTCACATCACACGTCACACGTCACCTGAGATTCCCAACGCTCAGCTCCTGGAAATCCAACGTGGACAACGCCTGCAGCTGAAGGGTTCGCTGAACGATGGGAAATCTCTGGTGGAGATCCATCGATTTTTTTTTGGAAATGGACATCTTCTAGCTGTTTAGCTATGGGATATAACATGATCTATGCAATTTTTTGAAGCTATTTTATACATTTATATAGGGATAATAGCTATTTAGCTATATGTTATAGTGATATAGCATGATATATGCGGTGTATATATATATAATGTATATATATAATGTATATATATATATACATTATATATAATGTGTGTGTATATATATATTTATATCTATGTAGCTATTTTATAGATTTATATAGGGATACAACATGATATCACCATCAAGAATAGGGGCTTCATAACTTGACACACATTGTTTTGGAGGAAATTGCAAACGTTGAGGGTCGAAACAGTTCATAGTAAACACCTCGTTGGGGATCATTTTTGATCCTCCCCATCTTCCCGTTAGAATTCCCGTAAAATATGGGCTAGATCCGTATAATAATAATGGAAAATAATTGGAAATACCGGGTTCTTCAAAAAAAACAGCCAACCAACTTGAAGTCTGGCGAGGAGAGTTAGACACCCCTTGACCCCAATTTCAATGTTGTGTGACAGCAGTGCTTCGCGGAGCCTTCAGAAAAAACAGCCATTCTTGCTCCGGCCATCGAGAAGCGATGGTTAGCAACATTGTTTTTTAGGGGGTCCGGGGGCTTTCGGTGGATGTTGCAACTTTTGGTTGATGGCTGTTTTTTTTGAAGAACCCGGGGACTGTTTTTTAGACTTATGGATGTCCACCTGTTAACCCGGGCAAATGTCATGTTGTACTTCCAACAACTTTTGCATGCAGATGTGACCTCATCAAAGTGCCGCCCACAACGCAATGGGATGTCTACGTGTAAACGCGGGCAAGTGGCATGTTGTACTTCGACAACTTCTGCATGCAGATGTGACCTCATCAAAATTGCTGCCCGCGACTCAGGAAGCAGCACCGCCACACATTGCCTGTGGACCAAGCCCGGCTGTGCTTGCCAGAAGCCTACAGTCATCAAGGCCGCTGCCGGCCAACATTGATTTCCCTGTGAATTTCCATGCAACGCACGTGCAACACACGTGCAACACAGCACTTTCGCTGGCCAGTGGTGCCCCAGGGCAGGAATTTCACCCCCTTGGCTGCCAAATCTGCATTTTGCCAAACAGACCAAGGCTATTTCTTACGTTGTCAGCAGAATGTGTGATTGATGCAAGCGCTCGGTCGGTACAGCATTGCCTTAACAGAGAGTTGCCGGATGTTGCACCGCTGCTTGTTGCATCGCGGGCGGCAATGTTGATGAGGGCGCATCTGTGTGCAGAAGTTGTCGGAAATACAACATGACACTTGCCCGAGTTCACACATGGACATTATATTGCGTTGCTGGCGGCACTTTGATGAGGTCACATCTGCATGCAAAAGTTGTCGGGAAGTACAACATGACATTTGCCCGAATTAACAGGTGGACATCCACAAGTCTAAAAATCACTCCCCGGACGTAGTCCGGTATCACAGATCCATATAATGGAAAATATGGGGATATTTCAATATTTCCCATTAAAATTTCCCATGGTATTTTCCATGATACTGTATTTCCCATCAATATTCCCATCAAATCCACATCTAAAATGGCTCGGCTCTCCCTTTTTTCGGCCTCTCACCGTCCACCCCAAAGTTCTGCGCCTTGGGCGCGTCGGCTCCCGCCAGCATGCGCTGCCTTGGGGGAGCTACGTTCGACTCCAAAAGGTTGCTGGAAATAGAATACTGGAGAATTAAATAGGATAAAATAGTGGAGATAATAATGGTGATAATTGGAAAATAAATACTATAGAATAAGTCCAAACAAATCAATACTATAGAAAAAATAATTAAACAAATGGAACAATTGGAAATATTATAGTGGTTACTTATCTGTTTTTAATATTTGCACCCATTACGCGGCAATTTTGATTGCTAAATGGCTAAATGGTGATAAAGTACTGCATCTGACTCTTTGAAAATCAAATGTTTATGTTTTTTTTGGGGGCATTGATCCAAAGCCCTGTAAAACAAAAAAACACCGTTTGGAATTTCCGACAACGAATGTAGGAACGTGTGGTGATAGGTTTTACCCGCAAAAATGTTCCCTGCGCGGGGCGGTCCCCTGAATGGTTTTGCGTTGAACCCTCAGAAGGCTGGGGGTTCCGGCAAACGAACATCAGCCTGCACGGGCAGCTGAACGGGGGACGATATGCACATGCAAGCAAACTACAGTGACCGCAAATGGTTCCCCCAAAAAGTCGGATTTTCTCAGTTTTATTTCAAAACCACGCTTGTGCCGAGTGAAATGTCCAAAATACATCCAAATACGTTATTTAGAAAAACCAGCACTGAACCTACGAAACACACAACTCAAATCCAATCATTCCACCATCGGAAAATAATAGTCAATTGAGCAACATTCAAAACCACTGTTGGTTGAAGACTATCGAGAATTATATATCCGATATATATATATAGTTGTATATATATATAGTTATATATTAGTTATATATACAAATATATATATATATACAAATATATATATATATATGTACATATATGTATATATATATATATGTATATATATATGTATTGTATGCAATATATCAATGATTCTCATAATGCATCGGGGGAATCCCGTTCTTCACCAACCAGTGCGGGTGGGCCACCCAACTGGCTCAAGGTGCATGTTCCTACTTGTCCGGTAAAGTGGAAGTGTTTCCCCATGGCCAATCTTAGATTTACTGTCACAAAAATGAATTGGTTAGTTTCAATATGTCCATTTCGGTTTATCAGAAACTTATTTTGATATGTACATTTAGGGTTTGTATGAAAATAGAGTACGCCCAACAATTTCATGGATGATGAATGTTGATGATTATTTTCTGCATCTATTAGAATATATAACCATTTTGGAGGGTATACCCTGTGGTAAACTAACATAACAAGGAAAATCACAATTTTTAATGGGTAAATCCATTATTTCTATGGCCATTTTCTATAGCAAACTGTTAGTTAGGGTATATCCCCATTCTCAAACACATCCATTTATGCCAAGATTTACCCAGGCCCTGAGTGTTCGGGCATTGCCTCTGCCATGCCGTCAGGTGTCCTGGGTGCCATCGATGATATGTGGAGTTCAAGGATCCGATGAATGGTTTAGGGTCATCCATGCCATGAAAAAACACATATGGGGGTTTCCATAAATGGGGGGTACCCCCAAATCATTCTTTTTAATGGGATTTTCCATGAAATAAACCATCCAGCCATTGGCATACCCCCATTTATGGAAACCCCCAAATGAACATGGATTGATGACCATCCCCAGCTCACCCTTTACGGTAGCCACATAGGCTGAATAGTCCACCTCCTCCTGCATAGCAGGTGTGCCAAGCCTTTCATATGTTCCACTTCGCACAGCAAGACCCGTGCTAGCACCCGGCTTGATCCTAAGAGCATCTTCCGTCATCCCAGTATGCTTCGACTCGAACTGCGTGGTCCAATTGTGGTACGGCTCCATTAGCAGCGAGGCCTGTTGAAGAAGCGCATTGTCTGCCTCCTCGTCTTTTCCAGTGATTTGCCTCAGCTTGTCATAGGATTCACCCATGTTGGTGTCCCGGAAGATGGCTGTGAGAACACCAAGAGCCACTCGATCGAAGTCATCACCAACATCCAAACCTTCGCGTACTCACCCTTCTGATTCCATGAGTGGTTCATTTCGTCCATCTTGATCAGCTTGGCCAATGCAGTTGCTTGGCTGCCAGCTGAGACGCAGCTGGAATCGACAAGGTCTGTGAAGTATGCGACATCGTCTCTTCTAAGTTCTGCTGGAACTATGAATCACTAGACCATTCAGCACATGCACTGCTGAAGACGTAGACCTCTGATTTCCACTTCCAGACCAATCATCCATCTTTTGTGTTTCTCATGAACTCGAAGGTCCATAATGACACTGCTCCAGGCACATCACCGGGGCCTTTCAGAATGATGTCCAAAACCATTGCTAATATTGAAAAATAACAGGATTGCCCATCCAAGTTTGACCCAGTAATGGCAAGTTTCTGATTCATAATCCCCCCCACAAGGTAGACCTTGGTTAATTCCTTGGCTACTTCCTAGTGGATTACTAATCCCAAGTTGGCATTATACTATATGGGGGGTTCCAGAAATGGGATACCCCAAAATGGATCGTTTTTCATGGAAAACACAATGAAAATGGATGATGTAGGGGTACCACCATTTCAGGAAATGCTCATATAGGTACTCTATCCCATGGTGTCCCCATGGATACGCCGGGACGCTGCAACTTCCGAGTCTTGGGCGGCGGCTCGGACCTGGCGGGCCAGGTTCATGAAACTTTGGGCTTAACGGGGTTGTCATGGCGAAATCCCGGGAAAACATGGGAAAATAAGGGAAAATCATTGTTCAATGGAAAACTAGGATCATTTCTCATCTGAATTTTGGGATCAAAATTGACCTTTCAGGATAAGTAGACAAGCCGGTTTGGTAAATCATTGATATAATCTACCTGTTGGTGTTGAATGGAAGGAAAAATATTTAATCAAACGACCAATGGAAAAAGGACACCTATAACTATAATGAAAATATAACTGGGAAATGTGGGACAGTCATCTGTCAATGGGAAAATAAGAGTACACAGGGGTAATGGGGGGTATGAAAAACATATTTACCTAATTTTACCTAGACCATCCATTGTAGCATTCATTTTCGGACCGATGTAACTGATCGAACATCAAAATGGTTAAGTTTGGGAGTTGGTACTGGTTTTGTTTTTTTGCAAACAAATGCACCCGTTTTTGACTTGTGTTGCATTTGTTTGGCTCGTTGTCTTGGTGTAAGGCGAAAAACCCACAAGACGCGCAAGAGTGCTCGCATGGACAAATCCTTCTCGACAAACTGCACGAAGCATAGCGCTTGCAAACTTGTGACTTGTGTATCCAATATAAGAGGGTGCTGGCAAACAAATTGCTACGATGGATGTTCCTGATATACCCATGGTGTTAACTTCCAAGTTCCATGACTTGGGATGTGGATGGATATTATCTTTATATGATTAATTAACTAAGTTATATTAAAGTTTTATATGCCACAAAGTAGAAAGATCGAACGATCACATAGGGGCGTCATCTGCGCCCTGCGGCCAGGTCATTCGGCCACATTAACCCTAGGATGGGTGCCACGGCTGGCCAAAGCTCCTTTTCAGACGTGTGAGCTCACGTCGAAGGGGATTCACCTCCTGCTGCATATTGCGGCAATGGGTGAAGAGGCGCCCCAAAAGTTCGATGGTTTCTACGTGCCAGATCAAGTGCAGCTCGCAGACATGTAGCTTGTTGTTGTCGGGATTCGCTGTAAGTCGACAGTTGAATGACCCCGTTCATCCTGGTCATGTGATCTGCCATGATCCTCTGTCACCAAAAGGTGAATCCTACGGCTAGGATCCAGTTCCTCGTCCCATGGAGCCCACCTATTGTTCATTGTTTCAAGAGATGGGCAGAGGCTTGGGGCTGGAGCCGGCCATTGAGTTCGGTTAAAACATTGCAAGGAAAACCTGGCTTGGTCTGAAAACCGCAAGCGCCCAATGTCATGTTTGGGTGCCTTCCTTTTTTTTTCGGGCAACCCGAAGCCTAATTTTTTTCGAAGGAAGTTTAGAAGTCAAACTTCCGACAATATGTCAATATGGACAGATGAAAAGCAGAGGTGGGCAGAGGCAGAGAAGAGAAGAGGAGAAGAAAGAGAAAGAGTCAGAAGAAAGAAGATCCAGGTGCGCGAAAAGGTAGGAAAGTGGCGAAACACAGTGTTTTGCCAATGATTTGTGGCTCCGGAGGGTCGAAAAGTAGGCTCGCTAAAGCGGCGGGTGCAGAGCCAGCTGGCCAAATGAGAGATTTAAAATTGCACGCCGTTGTGGCGCGAAGCACATTTCGAAGTCAAAAGTGTAAAAACTGACGGGTTCGGAGCACTTTCGGAAGTTGAGATGTTGAAAAAGTGCACGCCATTGTGGTGCGAAGCACATTTCGAAGTAAACATGTACAAAACACACCAGCTCCGGACCACTTTTGGAAGTTGAGATGTCGAAAATGTGCACGCCGTTGTGGCGCGAAGCACATTTCGAAGTCAAAAGTGCGAAAAACTGAGGGGTTCGGAGCACTTTTGGGCGTTCAGATGTCGTTTTGCGTGGCAGGCGCAAGGGATTGTGCACCGTGTCAAAAGTGAGCAAAGCGTGAGGGTATTGTAGCATTTCCAAAAACGATGGCAGGCGTGGGTCATTTGAAGACGATCTGCAAAGATCAATTTTCCGTGGCAGGCGCAGTGCAAGAGACATGTTCATCAGAGCTGTTAGGAGGTCCGGGCGCTGATTTCCTGAGAGAGTTGCATTTTGGAGCATCAGATCTTCAGGTTTGCTGAGATGATTTTGCGTGACAGGTGCAGCACTTCGTACGACCTCACTTTTTCGTGGCAGGCGCAGTAGTTTAGACAGATGGAGTGGAAAAATCGCAAAACGCATTGGCACGACGCCGTCAGCTCTGCACTCAACTTTCCATTTTTGAAGGATGTCTCGCAGAATTGCTTCGTTTTTGAATGTTTTTGATGTTGTCAACTTTAAAAAAACGAGGACGTCTCGCAGAATTGCTTCGTTTTTGACGTTGTCAAGTTCAAAAATTGAGGACGTCTCGCTGAATTGCTGCATTTTTGATGTTGTCAAGTTCAAAAACTGAGGACGTCTCGCAGAATAGCTTCGTTTTCAAGCTTGCAGATAGACAGATAGATAGACAAACAGACAGATAGATAGAGATAGGTAGGTAGGTAGGTAGGTAGATAGTCAGAGAAAGAGAGAGAAAGAGAGATAAAGAGAGAGAAAGAGAGGAGACCTCAAGCACCTTTCGGTTCATCAGTGGATTCGCTCTGCCATCCGTGAGTCACAACAGCCAATCTCTCCTATAGGTTTCCTATTTTTGAAACTTTCGCCACCGCCTTGCGCGGTACTACTGGCAAAGGGTGAAGCTGCCCAGAAGTAACCCGCAATTCCTTGGGCGGTTTGACTAAAGCAAAAAACACGATGAACTATGGGTTTGCCTGAAATAGACAGCCCCCAACTTTATGCTTTGATGGTTCATCATCCTTTTCCCTACCCTCTGGTAAACGTTCACATAGTTACGGAAAGATCCCACCATTTTTCATGGGAAAATCTACTATTTCTATGGCCATTTTCAATAGCAAACTTTTGACATAACCAGAGGGTATCCCAAATCCCAAAGCCTATTTTTCAGGCCTATGTAAGGGGATATACCCCCAAAATATGGCAAAAAAAGGTACTAACGTACCTCCACTTTAGGATGCTGGAATGACCATTGATCCTTTTTCTCTATCCCAAATCCCAAATCCCAAGGGCCACCATGAATTTCCATCGTCCTGTTATGTCGAGTTTGCGGTGGCGCCGTGGAGCATCTCGGCAATTTGTTTTTATGTCTGAGTCTGACGTGCAGGATGTTGATGTTGTGGTTTTCGTTTTTCAGCAGGAATCGCGACCAATTTGTGAAGCGTTTTGTGGATGACCCCACCTTCAAATGTTCATCATTTATGATGAGTTGTGAGGTTGCTATCATCCAGATATGATGATATGGTCATGTTTACTAAAATGGGGGTACCGCAAGCAATCATCCACTTTGATGGGATTTTCCATTGTAAACCATCCAGCTATTGGTGTACCCCCATTGTTGGAATGTGGTCATGTTTCAGGCCAGCAGCAAGTCACGTAACCAATGCCTCTCCCATCACGGAGGTGAACGTAGCACAAATACAAACCTCTAATGGCCAAGTAGGGATGCTTAATATCACTCATTTCTGGTTAAAAATTGGGCTATCTTGGTGGTTTGTTGATCTCCTAACTTCGTTTTCCTTTCAATGAGGTAAATCCCAATGAAGTGCCCAAAAGAATTCGACATCAACTTGTGATGGTTTCAATATGTTTCAATCCATGAAGCTATGCGTGGCTTCTGGCTTCTCCACCTTCCACGCAGGCAAGGTGGGCATGTGAAAATCCTCATCCCAAATTCAATGGCCATTTTAGGGACCTAAATTGGGGGTACCTACCATATATAAGGCCTTTGTAAAGGGAATATCCCCACAAAATATGGCCTTATATTGTACAGTACCTCCATTTTAGGAATCTGCAATTCCCATTGAAAAATGGAAGGTTGCAGCTGGGAACATCAGCCATAAAGGGTGGACTTTCCATTGTCATGTTTGATTACCAGAGGGTACCGCCCAGGTTTTTTGGTTGGTGATCATACAAGGTGGCACCCCCCCAGTTATTAGTTGGTCCAAACCTCATTACCTATAGATAGTCAGATGGTATAGATATGTCATGAATTATCATGATATATCTATATACCAGTACCATAAAGCACATTTGAAGCTAGGTACAAACCAACTTTTTCGCGAAGTATAGCGGCACCACCTTGGTTTACACCTGGTCACTGTTTTTTTAATCCCATAGCTGGATTGGAAGTCCAATGTCTGGAATCACAACGCCCATCATCCAGGGATGATCCTCCAAGAAATCAACCCCAAAATCCCCAGAAGTCTATGGCAAGAATGACTGGTTGGTGGTTTGAACCCCTCTGAAAAATATTAGTCAATGGGAAGGATTATCCCATATATTATGGAAAATAATCCAAATGTTCCAAAGCACCAAACAGATGAGTTCTTGAAGATTCCATGACCGATGATTTACATCCGGTAAATTCCAACGTTGAAATCGGTGGCTGAACACATTTTTGGTCCCCGACCTTGGTCCCCCCATGCAATCGGGATTTTTACAACCATCTCCGGGACAATTCTCCTGAAATGTTCCCATGATTTTCATCAAAGGATTGGTATCAGGGAAAATCTACAGGAAACCATGTTTTTGCCACTATACCTTACATGGTACTTTAAGGTCGCTATTGAACATCACCATTTTCAATGGGTAAATCATCTATGAACGGACCATTTCCATTCATTACCATAGCCAGGTGAAATTGCCAAAAGGTAGAAGTTTCCTGCAGATTTTCCCATCATATCGTTGTGATTCGGCAATGTGCTGAAACTGGAAAGGCCGCGGCCGGTTGATGGCTGACACCAACAAGTAGCAAAGCTACTGTTACGTAAACAAGTAGCTTGCTTGGTTTCCTTGTTGCATTATGTTGCATTCATCAATCTGTTTGTTTCTTGTTTTCTGCAGAGTGTCGTTTTCGTTCCTTTCAATGCAAGATCTGAAAAATCCGTTACCAAATTCCACAAAAATGACAGTCCCTATCTTGATGGTTTTGCAGCCACATTGCCGGCTTTTTTTCCCCATCAATTGGGTATCCCATGATGTCTCCATTATTAATGTCAACCCCGGATTAATAAACCATGGTTTATTAATTAGGGTGGTACTCCTCCAAATAGTCGCAATATGGTACATAAATGGTACCCTCCCACTTGAACAGCCTAGGGGTTTATTAATCCAGGGTTGACATTACCATGTTTTTGCTTAGTAAATACCCGATGTCAATCACACTTGTTCTATATTTCCATGGTGACTAATGGGGAATCTTTATTGGCATGCCATGCATCTAATGCATCTAAATGCAATTTTTGTTGGTCACATGCCATCTATTGCCGTTTGGCTTGGTTGGTGCAATAAAAAAATCTTGAAAAATATGAGTTCGTCAATGGGAAGGATGACATCCCATATATGAAATGGAAAAACATGTTCCAAACCACCAGCCAGTGTTTGTTGGTTTATAATCCCATCTCACTATAGATTACTATAGATATATCCATCATAAATCATCATAAATCCTATAGTTGCTATAGTTTAAACCAACCAGCTATTTTTTGGCAGTTTCCTCATGATTTTTGGGGCTCCATCCACCGCTTTAGATACCGATGCCTGCCCTCTTCAGCTGGCGTATCCTCGTCCATGCCTGGTGGAAACACCACTACGCCCGGTGTTTTAGTGTGAATTTCCACGGGAGGTGGAAGAAAAAACATGGTATCCGAAAGGTAATAAATATATAGTCCTCATATACCGTCAAGTTCATTTTCAAGGCTTTTCTTGGGAAAACTTTAACGGGAAACCATGGATTTTCCGATGAAATATAGGGGTTTCTATCAAATCTGTTGATTTCAGGGATATTTTAAGTGCAATCTTTCCCACCAATCTATTGGTTTCTGCCTCAGTTTCTATATGTTTCTATCAACATTTGCGATATTTCACCAGCCTGAAATCATGGTTGATGCTAGCTACCTCTCCAGAAACCTATTTTCAGCTCGTACATGTACGTTACCATAATTGCAACCCAGAAATTAGCTCATATACTTAGTTGTAAATGGTCGGTACACCGAAAAATGGGTATGTAACATTGCAACATATGTAAATACATAACATATAGTATATAAAAACTATTATAAATAATGTAGGCTGCCTAATAGTAACCCCCCCTAAATAAAATATATTTTTTAAAAATTAGGGGGGTCAGCATTCCAATAGTAAATTTTTGGAACCTTATAGCTGGGATCATGGAAGTGGGGGCAGAGGTGGTGGAGGCGAAGGAGGAGGATGAGGAGGAGGAGAAGAAGGAGAAGAAGGAGAAGAAGGAGAAGGAGAAGGAGAAGGAGAAGGAGAAGGAGAAGGAGAAGGAGAAGGAGAAGGAGGACAACAAAATTGGAGTTGCGGAAGAAAGTTTCCACTATTGCCATGCCTGGTGCAGGTTTGTTATTGCTATTCTGGGGCTTGCAAAGGGGGTACCCTTTGTGGACCTGTTCTTGCTTTTTTAAATAAGGGTTTTATAAGGAAATCAGCTGTTTGGTAATTGGATCAGATTTCTGGAATCTAAGCTTTTGCTAATCAAAAGTGAAGGCTGCTTTGAAAAGGATTTGCTTTACTAGACTCTTTTGGCAATACTAAAAGTAAATGGAGCTAATTGACTTTTAGTATTGGAGAAAAAATTGGAGTTGGGAAAAAAGTTTCCACTATTGCCATGTTGGGTCCACTATTGGCCATGCCCTCTGGACAAGGTCTGAACATGACTCTTTGGCAATACTAAAAGTAAATGGAGCTAACTGACTTTTAGTATTGGAGAAAAATTGGCGTTGCGGAAAAATGTTTCTACTATTGACAAGATATCACTATTGGCTAGACAACATTAGTATATATATATATATTGTGCGATCCCGAAGGTCAGGGTACCTTGCCAGCTGAGTCTTACATTTGTGCAGCATGCAAGACGTCATCAAGACTGCTTGTATGTGAACCACCGCTGCAGTTCTTTCCAATGGGAGATCATAGCGCATGGAGGTCCAATCTTCGAGCACATTCTGCAAAATAATCATGTTGGACGTGCTGTGCCCCATCCGGGCGTTGTGTCTCCTCATTGCATATGCCATCCCTATGGCCTCTTCTTTGAGGATGTCGCGCAGAAGTCTGATCCTCTTCTCCAATACAGGTTGTGTGCATTGAGGATCGGCATCCATCTTCTCGAAGGTCCACTGCCCCCAGTGCTCGCGAGTCAGGGGGGCGAACTTTGTTCTCAAGCGGATCTGCTGACAGTGACTGTTGTAAGGTGGATGAGACTGATTCAGCGATCCAAGATCGACGACACTGGTTCGAGCGATCTTTTCCCTGAGCTCTTGAACAGTGATGGTCTTGTTGATCATATTGTTCGTTCCTGAGTACTGTACTGGCTTCGCAGGGTATCCCAAAACTCCTCTATGCGGATCGCGCACTCGAATGTGCAAAGCATTATATATATATAATAGATAAATAGATATAATTAGCCAGATATAGTCAGATATACCCTCTGGTAATTTAACAGTTGCTATTGAAAATGGCCATTGACAGTTGATTTGCCCAGCTAGAAAATGGATTTTTTCATCGATTTTTGTATGTTTACCAGAGGGTAGATTGACCAAACAAATTCTGGTTGGTGGTTTCAACCATCTTGAAAATATTAGTCAATGGGAAGGATTATCCCATATATTATGGAAAAATAAAAAGTGTTCCAAACCACCAACCAGAATTTCATTCTCAAAAATCACATTCCCATCTCAAGGCCGGCTCCTCCCCAGAACTCGTCCACTGTCAACTGGTGGTCTTCGGGGCGATATGGCTCCTGCGGCCGGAAAATCCTGGAAAAAATCCTGCAATCATTGGGGAAACCCACGAAAACCTGAGAAAAATCCTGGAGATCCTGGGGAAGTTTATAAATGGAGGATTGTCATGGGAAAATCATGGGGAAATCCAGGAGAAGATGAGGATTTTCATGGGAAAATCATCCATTGGGTTGCTTTGTCGTTTGCCAACTGGAAAAGCTCCATGGAAATCAACGGGAAATCATCGACCTAGCTATGTCAAATCATTGGCGTGTAGACCCCGGGTCATATGGGGATCTCAGTGAAACTTAAATATTACTAATATCATGATATCTAAAATATAGTAGGTTTAAAAACCTACTAATATCTCAGTGTTCTTAGAAACCTACTATCATAATTTGGTTTCAAACATGTGTGACAGGATGTCAGTATTGGGCATTTCCAACTTGGAATGCACATCAAAGCACTGAAAAAAATCATGCCAAATTTTTTGAGTAACTGGAGCCGTACCCCAGCTTCAAGTAGGATGGATTGAGCCACAGGACTTATTAACCAAAATAAAAAGAAACGGGATGAGGGCGAATTGCCCATTCCGTGGAGTATACATCTCTTCTACACTTCAAAAAACCTCGTATATAACATGGGTGCGTCTGAGCGTTCTGCGAACTCGAACATACATAACCACTCAACTGACCCTCTCGTGATGGTGTTTCGTCCCAAAAGCCCAAATCTAAGGTGCAGGCATTCAGGGTTGACATTTCAACAAAGCTGAACGGACACGAGTGCCACGGATGTCAAGTCCTCCGGCCCAACGACAGTGTGGGTGATCCGTAGGTGGTGGTGTGCCTTTTGTTTTTGCTGCCCTTGTCATTGCTCCGCTCGGTGCTACTCAGTAGCAACGGCAACAGGCCCATGATGCCACCCGTTGCTTGGTCGTGGCGTTGTAGTGCCCTAACACCACACGCACTCCCCCCTTCTCCTCGATGCTTCGTCGTAGTATAATCCACCATCTGTCAACGGCTGAATGCAATTGGGACAGTGTTGAATGTTGATTGCCGAACGGACTCGCACAACCAATGTTTTGGAATTTCTGGAGGATCCGGCCATATCCGGCCTGATCCGCACCCCATCGAAGTGTTGCACCAACAGACTTGACAGGCTGGCACAAAAACAAGCGTTGAACATGCACCACCCATTGCTGCAACAAAGCGCAGCCGCCACACGGACGGTACCAGAAAAGACTCGCCCGAAAATCCGACTTTCGTTTGAAACGGCCGTCTAAAGATTGGCCGGTAAGCATTGAAAGATTAAAACCACAGTGTCGCTTTTATGGCTCAAATGTGGATGAACATAGAAATTTGGACCTTGGATGACCAGGTGTGTCTCGTCCCGATTTCTTGTTTGTTTCGCCATGTTAGCCACCATATTTCAAACCGCCAGATATTCATTGGTTCTGTAGCCGCTGGTAATAAAACATGGCAGCCGAAAATCCTATATCAATGTTTCATTTTTTCATTGCCAATCTTAGATACCCTGCAAAAAATTAAATTCTTTGCTGGTTAGTACATATTTCCATTGATACCAAAAGACTAAAGGATTAAAGTATCCATGTAAGATTGACCTAGTTTTGAAAAGGAACATCATCAAACTACTGAATGGGGGTTTTCCGGCAAGCCATGTTCAACAAAGGGTACCATCTTTGCTGGTTTATCTCCCCAATTAATCCTAATTAAATCATATCAACCCCCATGCTGTGGACGGACAAACCATCCTGCACCAGTTGGTAATTATTGGTAGCATAATTCAACGCTGTAAACAATGGGATAATAATCCGACTATAATGGGATTTCTTCCATTTACGGTGCAGGAGTTCTTGATCATCCACAATATCACCAATACTATCCCCATCAAAAAGTTAGAAAAATCCTCATTACCTCACTAGGATCCATTCCAAAAAGCTATATCCCCATCATTATCCCATGGTATTCCCATTAAATCCATGAAGGTTCTCCAAGGATTTCCCTCATCAATCATGGCATCATGGGTACCCTACAGCTGGGGATTTTGCTGGATGTTCATCCCACCAAAATTTTGATGCTAATAGGTACGGTATACAAAGTGGGGCCCCCAAGATAGCGTTCAGTTGGTGAACATAACTACAATAACTAGGCTTATGGTAGTTATAGCTATACTTAGATTGGGTTATAAACCAACTAACATCACTAGTTTGGGGGCCAAAAAACATTGTAAGTAACTTGACCCATCCCCATTAATTGACATCCCCATGTCACCTATTAATGACCTTTTTTGTTTCGAATCTCCAGATCTAGTTGGTTTATAAGTCCAACAACTAGCTTTGATTATATGGGAATTAGCTAGTTAATGGAACTTATAAACTAGCTGATTGGTATAACATAGCCAGTTAATCTATCCAACAATTAGCTAGTTTGATTAGGCATTATAAACTAGCTGTGTTTTATCGAACTAGTTCATGGGGATTATAAACACAGCTGTTTGATTAGGGGTTTAGTTTAAAACCGCCACCAACTAGTTCGTTATATCTACTACATCCCATAGTCATTGCAGATATATCTACCATGAACATCCATAAATTCGATATTTATTGGACATATAGATTATATTATAGATATATCTTCCAAAACTCTAGATATATCTACCATAAACCCTAGATATTGCAGTTATGTTCACCAACTTAGCGATTTAGCTCACTGGGGCACCACCAAGATATCTACGCCGTTGTGAACGACTGAAACACCGCCCATCTCCTGAAAACAAACTCGGTGCAAACGCTGCTGCGCTCCATCCATCATCTCCAGCTCCTGGATGCGATTTTCGCCTCTTTGGGGAGAAACCAGGGCTTTAAAAATGTTGGAACTATATGGCTTTAATATGGAAATATATGACTTTAATATGGTTTAATACGGTTTTATATGGATTCATATGGCTTAATTCATGAGGATTGGACTTGCTATGGATTTATCTGGATTCAAATGAAGCTAAGATGGAATTATATGGATCATTATGGATTTGTGTGCGATTGTGCTTCCCCCAAAATGTATGGACCCCACAACTGTCAGCATTTGGGTGCGTCCAGAATGCTTGAGAGGTATCCGATTGTTGGACACGCGTTTTTGTGGGGATATCCAGAAATGGCGATGTTAACAATTGATGAAGATCAACAATTACCCTCTGGTAAACTAACATAGCTATGGAAAATCACCCTTTTTAATGGGGAAACTAACTATAAATGGCCATTTTCAATAGCTATGTTAAATTACCAGTGGGTATATTTTGGAGTACTGCATTTTCAGACAAACCTGTCTGAGCGCCTCCTGGACTTCAAATTGTATCAAACGCATGAAACACAACCATGGCTTTTGTTTAGGGTGCCTCACCATTTTTGGACACATACGCACGTAGAGTCTCACTATTGTTGATGGTTACCACATGCATCTCTATTGGCATGGTCAACTCGACCAAGCCCTGCTGCTGAACCATTGGGACATCTCTGCAAACTCATCTGTCTTCAGCTTGACAGAGCCACCCTGCAACTCCATTCCATCAGTAGTGGTTTTTGTCCTCCCAGCAGAAACTTTAGCATGGTGCCACATGCCATCCTGCTCAAAGATGTTCCCTCTGGTCAAAGCAGTGCCCATTGCCTGCTCATTCCCCTGGAACACTTGCCACAGCATTATGCTGTAAGGCACTCCATGAGTGGACTTGCTTGCCCAAGTGGAATCCAAATTTTTCTTCCAGCTTTGGAATTCTGGTGAGTTGTGGCACATCAGAAACTCTCCTTTGGAATCCTTTTTGAAAAGGCGGTTGAAGATCACCTGCAACTCAATACCATCCAGCTGATGGGCGGCTCGAAGATGCCGTAGGTCCTGGTTTACGTGCATACTTCTGGCGCTTGGTTCGAGTCAAAGTCAATGGGGTCATGTCTCGAAGATGGCCCCATGCCGCGCTGCAGCTGGCATTGAGGGCAGCCTGCGGCTCCAATCCCATCAGTTCGAATGACTCGGCTGCTTGCTGGATGGCAAAGTCGCTGTTGCAAATCTTGCTGCGGTCCACTGGGAAGCTGAGGCACTTCGATGGCGGAGTTGATGGCATCCATTGTTGGAGCGATCACCATGGGAGTAGCGTCAGTGCCCTAGTGCTATAATATAGGTATGAGTCAAAACCATATCTGGTTGGTGGTTTCAACCCCTCTGAAAAATATGAAAGCCAGTTGGGATGATTCTTCCCAATATATGGAAGAAATAAAAACATGTTCCAGACCACCAACAAAATATTTTTCATGGTGAAAACCACACCGAAATGGCTGGGATTTATTGATGTTCATCGATATTTCAATCCTACGAGTCGTGGGTTTTGATCCCATATGAAAAACAAAAACAACTACCCCCCAAAAAGGGTTAAAACCACCCGTAAAAACCATTAAAAACATGGTTAGACACCATAAAAATAGGTTAAAAACCAAGCAAATTACCCACTGACTAACCATAAAAAAACACCCGCCAGTTTCCCACCTGGCATGACCCACATCGAAATATTCCCGACCTATTTGTTGCACATTTATAAAAACTGGGACATCAAATTATCAATCAATAAATATGAGATGTGTACCCTTGACTTTCAATGTTATAGTTTAACCTGGTCTTTACCAGTTTCACAGGAAGAAACGTAGATATTCATTTCAGGTTCTACCCTACTTGAAACTCATCATGTCATGAATTCCTGCATGTTTCATATTTTCAGCAAAGCATCATAAACACCATTGAAAAACCAAACGTTCGGGATGCAATGAATCGTTGAATCGCAGACCTGCTTGCAAAACTCGGCGGGAATATGCAAGCATCGCTTTTGTAGAAGGATCATGTTTCACCTAGTACACACGAGCCTTCAGTAAGTGCAAATTATACCTAGTCTTTGAAGACTTTGTTGTATATGCATTTACGCATATGTATATATATATATATATTTATAGATACAATATATATATGTAGATATAAATGCATACATAGTAATATATGCATACACAGTTTCAAGTTTTTGAAGGATGAACAGGTGATTCACCGCATGTGGTGCACTCACTTGGAGTACCACCTCAAGGTGGTGCCTCCCCAAGTGAAATGTTTGTTGGTTGAGTCTCACCTCATGAAAACTGGTTCAATATATCTACCATAAACACTTAGCTAAGTATCAGACACCACTTACGTAGTTGATGGTTTTCCCATTACGAGTATGTCCCCATTATTTCCCAACTGGTTCCCATTAAGAAGCTCTCAATTTTCAGCCTGACATGGCCCAGCACGGCCTTCGCCCCTGCAGCGCTGGACTTCGCACGGGATTGCGGTTGTTGTGTCGGCCGCACTTCTACAGCCTGCGAACAGCAGACGACTTTTCGGGAAATCTCGCACGGGTCTTCAAATGGCTATTTCAAAAAGAGACAATCAATATGTCGGATGTATACATGCTATATATATCTGAGTTGGCCTCCAACATCTTTCCATCCACGGTTTCTTGGATGCGTTGGTTCAAGCTGTGCTGCAGGTCATCCGCTTTCTTTGTCCAATCTGAGTTGGCCTCCGGCATCTTTCCATCCATGGTTTCTTGGATGCGTTGGTTCAAGCTGTGCTGCAGGTCATCCGCTTTCTTTGTCCAATCTGAGTTGGCCTCCGGCATCTTTCCATCCATGGTTTCTTGGATGCGTTGGTTCAAACTGTGCTGCAGGTCATCCACTTTCTTTGTCCAATCTGAGTTGGCCTCCGGCATCTTTCCATCCACGGTTCATGTAGGATGTAGCCATTTGTTCAAAAAGAGAACATGAATATAAGCATGATGATGAACCAGCGGATGGATACATCCTACATTGGTATATGTTCAAAATCCCTGGTTTTCGAAGGTGATCCATGGTTTTACCAGGAAATCCTACATGAACAGTGTTCAAAAACCATGTTGGTTGATGATAATCGACCAGTCACCTGCTTTGACAGAGGGTTTTGAACACAGAGGATTTAACCACTAGTGAACTTAGCAACTAGAAATGAGCTCACAAAAAGAAAACCGTCAAATGAGGGATATTCTGAAATACATCAACCACCCGAATAGAAGAGTTTGGACATCTGGAAGTCACGAGAAAAACACACAATTCGAACTTCACGAATAGAACAGCTTTCCCAGTTTTCCTATCCATTTTGGCGTTGCAAACGAGATGGTAATCGGTAGATACTTGGTGGCTCATCCCACTTAGTAAGCAAGTTATAACCCCAGTTATAAATGGGATAAGTAGGGATAATCCACTTTTTTGATTGAGGTTATAACTCACTTACTAAGTGGGATGAACTACCAAGTAGCAATCTGTGGTAAAGTTTGTGACTTTGTGACTCCGATGACCCGATGGATTCTCATGATTTCCCATATCAATGACGTCGTGACCGTGACCGGACCGTCATGACCGGTGGCATTTTTGTCCATTGGTACCTCGTTCAAAAGAGGCAACAAAAAGCCGAAAAATAGCAAGTCACAAATATGATAAAACAACTTCTTCAACTTAATTTGGGGTTTCCAATAGAAAGCAACAAATTTGTTGATCCCCTTCTTGAAAACTTGGGATATGTGAGAAATCACCCAGAAATTTATGGATCTTCGTGCGTGGCTAGAACATGTTTTTCCAACAAAAGGAACGACTTCCAAATTTGGGTATACCTGATCTTTAAGCAAAACCCCAATAGAAACCACATTTTCTTGGATTCGCTTCAGAAACCCCGCCAAAAACATCGACTTCCCATTTCTGGCAGATCAACCAGCAGGTGTGGGACATCAACAGCGGCTCCCCTGAGGGGTGGCTTTTCTGGCTCATGGGATACCCCAACAACATCGATGTACATTATCTGCTTGGTGGCAAATTATATACAAACTATCTGGTATGTTAATGATATGGTACATGATATGTATTAATATGGGATATGATATACTAACTATCTGGTATGTTAATGATATGGTATACGATATGTATTAATATGGGATATGATATACAAACTATCGGGTATGTTAATGATATGGTACATGATATGTATTAATATGGGATATGATCTACTAACTATCTGGTATGTTAATGATATGGTATATGATACGTATTAATGTGGTATATGATCTACTAACTATCTGGTATGTTAATGATATGGTATATGGTATGTATTTTTATGGTGTCTGGTATACTAACTATCTGGAATGTTAATGATATGGTATATGATATGTATTCATATGGGATATGATATACTCACTATCTGGTATGTTAATGATATGGTATTTGATATGTATTAATGTGGGATATGATCTACTAACTATCTGGTATGTTAATGATATGGTATACGATATGTAGTAATATGGGATATGATCTACTATCGGGTATGTTAATGATATGGTACATGATATGTATTAATATGGGATATGATCTACTAACTATCTGGTATGTTAATGAAATGGTATATGATACGTATTAATGTGGTATATGATATACTAACTATCTGGTATGTTAATGATATGGTATATGATATGTATAAATATGGGATATGATATACTAACTATCTGCTTGGTGGTTTGAACCTACCCCTCTGAAAAATATGACTTCGTCAGTTGGGAAAATCATATTCCCAATATATGGAAAAATCCAAACCACCAACCAGCTATATGTATATATGTATACATGTCATTTTTTCATCTATATGTCAAATGGGTGTGGGAATTACATCGTATATTTTGGGGTTCTGCATATACGCCCCGGTGCTCCCAGCAAGGTGATGCATATTATAAGTATACCATACCAATAATTATGCAAAACATACCATAGGTATGGGTAAGTACTATAATTATACAATTACCATACCATAATTCTAGTTACATCTAAAATTATATAGGTTAATTGGGTAACGTCGACAACTGGGCGGGCCTGACTTTTTGGATCTTCCTCAGCGTCCTCCTGCGGCGATTTAACCACCAAGCATTGGGTTTGATAGTGGATGATAGCTAAGTGGCTTATTCAGATTTAAGAGTTGGGTTTATGGTACATACCTTGGAAAAAAACCACATTGAATAAAATGGAATGATATGGGGCTAAGCTAGGTAAGATTGGTGAAACATGGTAAAACCATGTAAAACCCAATGTAAAATTCAAAGAATGGTACTTAGATAAACCAATATAGACTATGTATTTAAATCACATAAAGAAATACTATGACTATCTAACCAGGGTAATACCATGTAAAACATGCTAGTACTAGTACATAAGGCGTGACCGCCCCAATGTGAATTCCCTTTCATGGGCCTCCAAAATATACAAGTCCAATACTAATCCTAGTTTTAGAGGTGTTTGATTTTTCGGGTATGGGATTATATTCCAGAATCTAGACAGACCATCATGTAACCAGATATCAGATTGTAGCTGCGAGCACCCAATCAATGGCCATTTCAGGAGCCGATTTATTGGAGGTACCTACCATGTGTAAGGCTTATTTTTCAGGCCTATGTAAGGGGATATACCCCCAAAATATGGCTAAAAAAGTACCTCCATTTTAGGATCCTGGAATTCCTATTGACCCAACCCTTGCAAGAATGTGGTCATGAAGGTCTCTTCCATCCATTCCCCGAAAGCTTGTGCCTTCGGGTAAAGGGGGGGATGAAGCAAAAGGGTCCTTTTGCATGTTGTCATCAATTCTCTATTGATATGCTGGTTGGTGGTTTTAACCATCTTGAAAAATATGAGTTCGTCAGCTGGGAAGGATGACATCCCGTATATGAAATGGAAAATAAAAAATGCTTGAAACCACCAACCAGATATGGATTGATTGATAAAACCTATATAATGCTGCTAACTGTCGCCGGTTGTGATAATCTATGATGTTTAGCAGGTTAATGAATCCCATTGTGAATGGCTTTAATGTGATAATATGTGATATTATTCCACCGGTACAGTTAAACATTGACCCATCCTACCATTCACCCAGGTCTCCCTGTTAGGTACCTTCTGGGGTAGGATCTTGGGGTCGCCGTGGCATCTCAGCGTTGCTGCTTTAGCAGCTCCAGTTTATAAAACCATTGACCACCGCATTGTTGCTGGTTGTACCCCCATGGTTATATCTAGAACTACCCTTATAGACCTATATTTGGGGTACTTGAATCCCCAGCTTTCTAAGCAACAACCACCAAACCACTATCTTTCACTGGCTGGATCCCTGTTTTTCATGCTTATGTTCGTTATATCCCTATTTGGTTTGTGAAAATATCTTGAAATCCCATTGTTGAATAGAAGAAAAACCATGATGGAAGAGCCAAATAAAGGTCTGGACAAGACGAAACAAAACCCTCATTGACTAGCCGTACATTATCCCCATGTTTCACAGTTGTATCTCATACACATCCCGTTATTTTTTGAAATACCACCAAAATTGTGGGACATATTCCCATATTTTTTGATTATCACCCAACAATCATTTAAAACTCATTGTTGAGTACATACCCCCCAATGACCGTCGTTTACATGTCCATTGTTATCCCATATTATGTTGGTTAAATCAATGTCCCAATTTATTGAGATAATAATTATTGAGATCCCATAGAAATAGTTTTTTATGTTCTCCCAGTTTCCAATCATTTTTTTCATAAAATCACCATGGTATTTCCCCTTGCTGTTGGTTAAAATACCATGAAATCACAATTTCCAGTGACCCTCAAGCTATCGAACAGTTTGCTATGGACAATTGCCCTTTTTTTCTTCCTAGCTGGAAATCACCAATTTGATACCATTTCCATAGAAGTCATTATTTTTTTGATATCACTTATGATTTACCTAGCTAAAATGGTGATTTTTCCAGCTCGCTACTTGAAACATCATCGGTGAAATCCGTTTTGGTCAACGCCACAGACGCCGCACCTCTGCCGAAGAGAAACCCGCCCACATCTCCTCCTAGGTGCCATGGGAGGTTGGAAAAAGCCAGCATCTGTGCACGACCATACCTAACCCTTATATTCCGGTGCCTTTGTAACCCTTATATTCACGTCGCTTCGCGACGGCAACCGCCCGCACCGCATCGTTGGGCTTGCACCAAGCAATAAATTTGAAAGCTTTATAAGTATCATATCTGCAAGATGTAGGCTTTTGTTGTCTGGACGCTCCACACTGGCAAAGATGTCGGCCAACCAAAATAGATAGAGAAAGATAGACCGATAGATAGATAGAGAGATATATCTATATATATATATATAAAGATCATGTATGTACATATCGAGTGAACGGTCCACACTGTTAATGATGTCAGCCATTGTTCTCTTCTACTGCCATTGTTCTCTTCTATTGCCGTCGCTCCGCGACAAGAACCCCTGTGCGGCCGCCACGGTTTGAACGATGTTGTTCTCACACCTTCGCGACCGCTCGTAACTGCCAATGATGTCGGCCATTGAGACCAAAAACATCCGAAAGTAGTGATTGTCGGAAAAAAACGCGAAGAATTTGATAGCCATGTATAGCGGACCAACGCACAAGAAATAACGAAAAACATGAAAAAACGGCGAAATTGCTGTTATTTACAGTGTTTTTGCGCGGTGAGAAGCAGAAACCACTGCAAATACTATGGTTTTTGAGGGTCAGGTGGCCAAAAACACTGTAATTTACAGTGTTTTTTTAACCAACGTCAAAAAACACTGGTATTTACGATGTTTTCAGTCACACCGTAACATAAAACAGCGTAATTTACGAGGTTTTTGGAAGTTTTGAAGCTAGCCGTCATGCAGAAAACAGAAAAACACTGTAAAAACCAGTGTTTCTGCTATCACAAAAGGACGAAAATCAGTCCGAAAACGGGTCCAAAAACTCAAAAATCCGCCTCCGGGCCCGGCCACCTGCGGAACCGCAAAAAAAGATGTTGCAAACCAAAAAATTGAGGTCAAAAAGTTGAAAAACACGGGTTTTTTTCACTTTTCGCTTGCCGATTTTGGACGGGCGCGTTCACGAACAGGTGTCTTCCGTACTGTTTTTTACAGTGTTTTTTGAAGGCGAGCGTCACGACCTATCACAAACAGGAGGTTTTGGCCGAAAAATGCCCCCCCCCCAGGTAAACCTGTAACCTTTTACGAGTGCCATCCGGACGATCACGCCCCAGCACCTTCGGTGCGGGCGGATTTCTATTATATAACCTTGAACTAATGCAACCAATTAACCTTTGTAATGTCTTAACTCCTTGGCGCTAACACGGTAGCATCAGTCTTCAGTGGAGCACCTTTGCGGTCGCTGATGATATGAAAGCTCTCCTGCAAAACAACTGCTGGCACCAGAAAGTCTTCCGGCTCATGTCTTGTAGAATCCAACGCCATCCCCACTCGGTCTTTCCGCAAGGAGAAACATTTGTAGCCAGGACGTGGCTCCTTCCCAGCTCTCCACACAAGGACCAGAAGCAATCTATGGCTGTCTACGAGACTGCAAGTTCTGAGCAACAAAGATACGTCGGCCGTAGTGACGAGAGATTCGGTCCAATGTTTGGATACACACATGCCCATGACTGCCAGGGCAGGATGCTCCAAAAGCCACTGGGCAAGTGTTGATATCCCGCTCTCAGACCAACTCACCTCCAGGCCTGTTGTGACGTGATGAAGGACCAAGACAGAATGCAGCTTTTGCGGTCGGTCCTGCTTGGCAATCAGGACTGCCATGCTGTACAGCCTCGCAGCATCCGGACCAGAGAAAATCATCTTCCCAATGTAGGCGCAAAAGGTTTCCGGGAAGCACCACAGGTCGCTGTCTTCTGCAGCCAGCGCGCCTTCCTCAACATTCTCAACATCAGCCACGTCTCCTGATTTAAGCCAAGTTGATCAAATCATGACGTGCGGGTTGAGCGCCCTTCTCGGATGTTTACAGAGAAGCCGAACAAGCTAATGAAGGGATGATCATCCAACCATGTCAAATTTCTTACTATGCCTTCCAACCGAGAATCCGGTTCTGTGAGCCGGAGTGCGGTGGATGGCAACAAGAATGTGACAGAGATGAATTTGGACAATAATGCCCTTTTGGTAAAAATAGAGGGGCCGGTTTGGTATACCATCTATCATCATTACCTGTTGTTAAAGGGGTTTCTTCAAACCCCTCTATAAATCAACCAACCAATGGGAAAAGGACATCTATGAATTTGGACGTGTTTATAAGCATGGTAGTACCCAACTCATCCACAACAACAACGTAAAGGAACCTCTTTGGGGACTAATTGGGTATGACTTCTTGGTGGTTTCAACCCATCTCCAAACAAAAATCGCTTTAGGGTCCTCATCCAAAATATTGGCCAAAAATGGAAGATGTGACGATGTTTAAAAAGGACCAGAGTAGTTAGCTTCGAAACACTTTTTTGTTCCACATCTTCGACGGAATCTTGCCGAAACAAACGGTCAAATATGTGAGCTCCGCCCCAAATGACCACCTGGGAACCCTAGACCCACAAACCGATTCTATAGGCCCTTAAAAGTGCCCACTAGGGTAGACCACGGTAGACCCACAGCTACCTAAGGTTTCTAAGTCCAATAGTAAACGATCCCAATTTCATTGGATAGAAACCATCCCATGAACCGTCATCCATATGGAGGACTTCCTAAAATGAGCACCCAAATCATCGTCATTTTACACCATTTGACCATTAAAACAAAAAACACATTAAAAACCTATCCTGGTGATTTAGGAAACCTCCATTTGTACACTGTGGTTCCCCCGAGTTTTTTTGAGTTGTTGATAACCCCCGTTTGCTATGGATATTGTATATCTGCAGTACAATAAACCCTAGTTATATGAGTTATATTAGTTAGTTATAAGGTCTATGTTAAATCATCATAAAGCCAAATGGAGATTTCCTAAGTCATGGGGGTACCCCCAAATCAGTCATTCCCTAAATAACCAGGACCCTAAAACACATCGAAAAAACCTGACGCCCGGCCCAGTGGCGCTGGTGAATTGATGGTCTTCGGGTCGATAGGGATCTCGGCTGCAGGCCTCCTGCATCAGCCTGCCATAGAAAGGTGAAAAAAAATACAAATTAAATGGTAATTTATGGTGATTAAATGGTAATTTATGGTGATTTAATGGTAATTTATGGTGATTTAATGGTATTTCATGGTGACTTAATGGTAATTTATGGTGACTTAATGGTAATTTGTGGTGATTTAATGGTAATTTATGGTGATTTAATGGTAATTTATGGTGATTTAATGGTAATTTATGGTGATTTAATGGTAATTTATGGTGATTTAATGGTAATTTATGGTGATTGGCAATTTTTGGTGATTTGATGGTAATTTATGGTGATTTAATGGTAATTTATGGTGATTTAATGGTAATTTATGGTGATTCGATGGTAATTTATGGCGATTTGATGGTAATTTATGGTGATTTAATGGTAATTTATGGTGATTTAAGTAATTTATGGTGATTTAATGGTAATTTATGGTGATTTAATGGTAATTTATGGTGATTTAATGGTAATTTATGGTGATTTAATGGTAATTTATGGTGATTTAATGGTAATTTATGGTGATTTAATGGTAATTTATGGTGATTTAATGGTATTTCATGGTGACTTAATGGTAATTTATGGTGACTTAATGGTAATTTGTGGTGATTTAATGGTAATTTATGGTGATTTAATGGTAATTTATGGTGATTTAATGGTAATTTATGGTGATTTAATGGTAATTTATGGTGATTTAATGGTAATTTATGGTGATTTAATGTTAATTTATGCGCCAAATCCAAACCTGGCAGAAGCATCCGGATTAAGAATTTCTGTGGAGAAATCACTGCACAATCGCCTCTAGCAGGTTGGCCATCACTGGACAGTGTTAGTACCGGGGCTTGCCGCGCATGACCCCACATTTTCACACGGCTCGGGGCATTTCGCTCTCTCCATCGCCATCCAAGGGTTCAGCAAAGGCAAGGAAAGCTGAGGGGTCCCATCCTGTACCTATCAGCCCTTCATTTTCCAATGGATCCGGGTCACGAAGACCACCCCTTCGGCACCTCATATGCTCTGGTAAACCTGTGGATGTGGCTGGAACGGCAACGGTGACATCGCGATGTAGGGAATCGATTCAGCAAAGTTGGGTGACAAAAACCTTTGAATACTGATATGGAAGCCGCAAACCTATGCACAAATGCAGTTGGAACAGGTTTTTTTAAAAAATTGAAACGGTGCGGAAGATTCCAGTAGATTCCAGCGGTGTCTGAAGACAATTTAGCAAGTCACCAACCTAAATTGAGGCCAGACAATCCAAGAATCTGGCGGATCTATTTCCATTCGGGCTCGCCCTAAGCCCATTATAAACATATAAATGACCAGCCCCTTGGAGTTATATGAACTGTTTTCATGGCTTGAGCCCACATGTGCAATGGTCAAAAGGCAGGGATATGTGCTATGGTCATCTATCCCACAAAAGGAATCCTGAAATAGTGGTATGTTAAGGTTCTATATCCCATTACATATATCCCCATTCATATTAAACTAACAGTTTTTATCGCTTAAATCAACCTTTTGACCATGGCACAATATAATATCACTTGACATCAAGGACCGCCGTTTTAGGCCCATCGATACCCCATTCCCGGTGCCTGCTGCTGGCAGTGCTGGCAGTGTGCCGGCGGAAAAAGCGCCGCTGCTCGCCGCAGTGGGCTCCTGTGAATGTGAAACCATCCACTTTGAAGCGAGTAGTGAATTATAACTTACACCTAATATTCTTGTGGATAAGGGTAACACATTAGGATATATTAGGATTATTATATATGTAACCCATTACACCGACTATATTTTTGTAATTTACACCTACTATATTATTGTGAATAATCATTGCCAATCTTAGATACCCTGCCCAAAATGACAAATTCTTTGCTGGTTAGTAGATATTCCCATTGATACCAAAAGACTAAAGGATTAAAGTATCCATGTAGGATTGACCTAGTAATTAGGGTAACACATTAGGATTATTATATATGTAACCCATTACACCTACTACATTTTTGTAATTTACACCTACTATATTATTGTACTATTATAATAGGGTAACCATCCACTTTGAAACCCAATGAAACGTGTGGATATGTATATATCTTGTAAATTATAATACTTTACCAACCTGAAAAGTTAAAGTTCGGCTGTTTTTGGATAGTTACCCTCTGGTTATTTAACATAGCCATGGAAAATTACCATTTTTAGTAGGTAAACCATCTATAAATGGGCAATTTTCCATGGCTATGTTAAATAACCAGAGGGTACCCTTACTAACCATCATTCTAGTCAGGTCGTGGTGAGGTCGTCAAATTTTACTCAGATCTATGTGTCTAAATACCGTGTTTGTAAATATGTGCAGCGACTATATCTGTAATGTAAGTAATAAATTTGTAAATATATCCAATTGCATCCAATTGCTATATCTGCAATGACTATATGTAGATATAGACATACTTCCCTGCATTGTCCCTAAATTCTTGACTTTCTAGTTATAGTACTAATACCTACTATAATCTATATGCGTTTCTCTGAAAATAGGCTACCCATCCAAATCCCAGAGTTTCCCATAACGCAGCTACACAAGGTTTCGCGCCAACCCTCCGTGGCGGGGGGCCGAAGCAACGTTGGTTCCACGTTGGTGCCAGGGAATCGTCGTCTTAGGGATGAGCATAGGCAATCCAAGACTTTTCACTGCCAACCAGGTACCATCTGGTAAACGTTAGCAAAAAACTATGGAAATTCACCATTTTCTAGCTGGGTAAACCAACTATTTCGACTGGGCCATTTTCAATAGCAAACTGTTAGTTTACCAGAGGGTATGTTCAGCATTCTCAACTGGTTGGTGGTATACCTACCCTCTGAAAAATATTAGTCAATGGGAAGGATTATCCCATATATTATGGAAAATACAAATCAGTCAACATCTAAAATGTTAAAATGTCAAACTCGATCAGCCCCCCTGGAAACCGTGGAGATTTAGGGTTAAAGTGCAGACATTGGAGACTGTGGGATTGGTTGCTGCAACCGGGGGCTACACGCTGCCTGCTGCAAGGTGTCGTAGTTTCTGCACAAGGCTTCCTTGTACCTGGCAATGTAACAGCCCTGCCGGGAAGAAAAGACACCGGAGAAGCAAGATCAGCCAGTGCTGCTTGTTGAGGTAGCCTTGGCCTGCACAAAGCTTCAGCCATGCGTTGGTCAGCCAATGTCTGTTCAGCATCGGGACAGTTAGGGCCACCAGAATAACCTTTTCCGAAATGGCCAATTTGGGGGTCATACCACATTTCCTGACAAACCCATAAGGATTTATCCAATTGCGATATCTGCAATGACTGTGCATATCAATCTTCTCTGATCCGATCTGATCTCATCTTATCTAATCTATCTTCCTAGTCTTCTAATCTAATTATCGATCTATAATCTATCTTATCTTATCTTATCTTATCTTATCTATCTTCCTATCTAATTATAGATCTACAATCTATCTATCTATTGAATTTTATCTTATCTTATCTTATCTTATCGATCCATCTACCTGTGATTATATCTATCTACAACTATATCTATCCATCTATCTATCCATCTATCAATCCAGCCATCCATCCATCTATATATACATACTATATATATATATACATAAGATTTGTGCGCATATTGACATTATTCAGATACTAATTGGGATGTAAATTGGTGAGTATTTTTCAAAATCGGGGATGACCCAATATGTGGCCTTTGAATAATAGGGACAACACTGTTTTTAACATTTTTATAGATTTTTTTAACCATCTGGGTAAATTATAATAATTCACTAACCTGAATCAAGGCCATTTGGGGATGATTTCCCTTACTAACCATGATTCCAGGGCTCGGTCGCAGTGAGGTCGTTATAATTTACATTAATTTACCCAGAACCATGGGATGGAATGGGGTTCCCAATTCAGAGTCAACCCCATATGTCGAAACACCCAAACCACTTTTTGCTTTTTGCACTTCATTTTATGTATTTTCCTTTATTATTTTTTTTTACTGGACCATCCACTTGTTGAAGTACTATCAGCAAGACAAAAATGAATGTTTCAGCCATCATGTTGAAGGACGAGCAACCCACCAACCTATCCAACCTAAAAAAACGATTCGCGAGGTCCGCAGTCCTCCTCCATCGCTTCAACGCTTTTTTCCAGGACCTGCGGCTCAGCGCGGCGCGGCTCAGCGCCCGGTCCGACGAATCGCAGGTCGAACGGTTACAGAAACATTCGCAGTACCTCCAAAGTAAGCCTCCAAAAAATAGAAACATACTGGATCATAGATATAGAGGCTTACTATTTTTTGGAAGATATATCTGATCATATCTATATCCAAGTATGTTTCTATATAGGCTGATATATCTGATCATACTGGAAGTTCATCAGATATAGAATTGGATTGGACTTTTCTGCATCTTTTTTGTTGGGCTGCTATGTGCCCACCATGATTGCCTCAAAGAAGGTTTTTACAACGATGACTTTTAGCCAAGAAATTATGGTGGCCAAACTTCATGGCCCTGGACAAAGCCACTTGGCAATGAAAAACATGAAATTGGATGAAATTGGTATGTTTGATTACAATGTTACAATAGAATTTGGGGTGGACAAACCCAATTGGTAGAATCGGATATCCTATTGTAATCAAACTCTTCATTGCCAATCTTAGATACCCTGCAAAAAAAATATTTTTTGCTGCTTAGTAGATATTCCCATTGATACCTAAAGACTAGTTAGGATTAAAGTATCCATCTAGTCGATTGACCTAGTCACTTATGATTTCCCTAGCCAAAATGGTGATTTTTCCAATTGGTAGAATTGGATACCCTATTGTAATCAAACTTTTTTGGCTTGCTGGAAAATCCACCTTCTGAATAGTTCGGTCCCATTTTCCCAGAGAACGAAACCAAAAAAAGTGGCTAGGGCCAGGGGATTCCTAACGGTTAGCCATATTTTATCACTAGAGTGTATAATTATATATTTCAGCATATTTCAGGCTCCCCAGTTCGAAGTTGGTTTATAAACCCATTAACTAGTTCGATATATCTACACTTTTGGCTCTTAACACCTATAAATGGAATTACAACATATTGGAACTCCTATAAGTAAGGCATACTAAGGCTATATCATGAAATAAGATGAAATAAGCCCATAGAAATAACATTTTGATATATTTTCATTCATTTTTATAACCTTTTACAAAAGGGCCATAGCTGTACCATGAATCCAATCAACCCGTCGCTGCTGATGCCTCCATTGAACGTCGTTCCATTTCATCCCAGTCCTACGACGGTAGAAGGACCCAAGGACCCAGAAATTTTGCTCGCCTGAAGATAAACTAGATTTTTCGAAGATATTTAGAATAGTAAAATCCATTAAAATCCTACTTAAAATAGTGACGAACTACCTTTCTATCCTTTTGAGGGTTACTATATCTACATATATATAAAAATGTATTTATAGACATGGACTGGGACTGAACGTACTTTCTCCGTGGACTCACTCTACAATGAACGACCCACTTGAACCCTCTCCTTACTGTAACATCATGTGTGTAGCATCCAGTTCAGGTGCAAGTGAAAGTGACATTACCACCCCAACACCACCTCCATGTCTAATATAGCCATCCCCGGACCCACATGACTACACCTGCGGGGTTCCGCCCGTTGGCATTTTTAAATATCGGAGTGTCACAACAGAAACACACACTTGAACTATCATTGATCAGGCTTCGCCAAAACCTTTGGCTTTCCCCTGCATCAGTTGGTTATCAATGGGAAAACTCATTCATGGTTTGGAGTAGCCATATTTCAAGCGAACCCCCATTTGTGGTTTATATGATTTGGAAGCGGAAAAACATCAGAATCCTATTGTTAATGGTCAATATCCATTAATATCCCATCTGGTTGGTGGTTTTAAACCATCTCGAAAAATATGAAAGTCAGTATGATTATTCCCAACTATTCGGGAAAATAATCCAAATGTTTGAAACCACCAATCAGTCCCATATATTCCCATATGATGTGATTGTGAAACCCCCAGCAAAATTTGGCCGTTCTTCTCCCTTCCATGCTCTGATAAAACCACCGAAAAAACCCTACAGGTCCTGTTCATAGTCTGGAGACGAGGCGGCCGACTCCGACATGGCTAACGTTGATTCCCCCAGGTCAAAAATGAGGTTAGTTCATAGGTAACTTGACCCATGCCCACGACTGTCAACTGGTTGGTGGTGCAATAACCATATTGAAAAATGTGAGTTCGTCAATGGGAAGGATGACATCCCGTATATCATGGAACATAAAACATGTTTGAAACCACCAACCAGTCAATATGTTGTCAATATGTTGACTGTCATCATCCAACACTGGTTGGTGTTTTTTCGCCACCCTTCTGAAAAATGATGGAGTGAAAGTCAGTTGGGATGATGAAATTCCATTCCCAACTGAATGGAAAGTCATAATCCATTCATGTTCCAAACCACCAACCAGATCACCATAATATTCCCATTGTTGTTCGTTTATAGCCTATTAACCACTATGAACCACTATTAACCATCACTATTAAAATGTCCTCAAAAATGATATGTTTTTCCAAGCAGCCAGCCTTTTTCATGGGGCGATTCATCAAGGATATTTGTCGATTTTTCTCTGCGATTTGAGCTGAAAGAGGTGGCTACACCAAGGGAATGGTAAAGTCAGACAAAAAGCTAAGCTTGAATGCGTTTAGTGGGATGCTTGTGAATGCGCAGTCAGGAATAGTCAGACATAGTCAGTCCTGCTGAAGATAGGTGTTTCTGGAAAATAGGAATAGGACAATCACCAAGGAAAAGCCCAGTTAATTCCTGAAACTCAGATCAAACTTAGATTTTTCCACTCCTGTGTTGTCAACTAAAATGACATAGCCAGTCCCGCTGAAGATAGGCCAACTTGGATGATCACAGGCCCGGCAGGCTGACAGGAGTTCTCACATGCTTTTTGGACCTCCTAAGTTGGTTTATAACTAATGACATCCGAATAGCCAAGGTTTATAAAATGGATTATATATTATATATATATTTCTGTTTATATATATATATTATATATGGGTTATTAAAATAACTAATAGAACCGAGGTTTTAACATGATTTATGGGTTGCTTAACCAGTGGTTAGATTGGTGCATAAACCAACCTATCATCAGGAGGCAGCAGCTGAAAGCGCTGAAAGTTCCATGACTTAGGCCATACAGAGCCCTAGCCACCGGAGCCAGGTCATGAAAGGCTAAAGCTGCAACCATTGGTTGGTAATATACTATTAATATATGGTTGATATATGGTTAATATGTGGTTAATAAATGGTTAATACATGGATATTATATGGTTAATAATGGTTAATATTGCTGTAATGGTTATTATATGGTGAATGATGGTTAATAATGTTATCTGGTTGGTGGTTCCAACCTACCCCTCTGAAAAATGATGGACTTCGTCAGTTGGGAAAATCGAATTCCCAACTGAATGGAAAAATAACCCATTCATTCCAAACCACCAACCAGCATCAGATAATAGTAAAGTGCCATATTTACTCACTTCATGTTGTGACTTACTGAGTACTGAGCTAGCAGTACTATGGTAGAATATTCCTCTAAAGTGAACGAACATAGCTGGTTGGTGGTATACCTGCCCCTCTGAAAAATATGAAAGTCAGTTGGGGTTTCTATTCCCAATATATGGGAAAACATGTTCCAAACCACCAACCAGATAGGGAAAATCTGCTGGAACAATGGAGGTTTACTTCGCTGATGCTGGGAGAATCATCGAACTAAATCAGGGTGACTGCGCCGGCTTTCTCGGCGATGTCGCAAGAAAAAAACTCCCAACGTTGGTATGTGTTGGTTACCCTCTGGTAAACTAACATAATTAGCTATTGAAAATGGCAATAGAAATAGTTGATTTACCCAATAAAAATGGTGATTTCCATAGTTATGTAAACGTTTACTGCTTCCAATTTTCGCAACGAATTCGCCCTTTCACCGACCTTCATATATTGCGAGTTTCTGCTTAACATCATCCCCATCGATTGTGGGTTAAGCCGCAGGTTTCATCACTCTATGAGGATGGGATTAGCCCACGATTTCAGGCTAAAACACATCATATCTCCAAATCATACCATCATTTTTATTTACCAACCACAGTTTTATCCCTATGATTTTACTGTCTGAACCGCGTCAAACATCCGTGAATTTGATGGCCTTTCCCAGCCCTTCACCACACACGGCCCTTCTTTTCCACAACGACATTCGCTCCGAACCCACATTCGCGGGACGAGACGAGGGGCCATTAAGAAGGCGTTTTGGCGGCAATTTTTGCGGATGGATTTACCAAGTCAACCGGGGGAAAAAAGTGGATATACTCTACTTGGTGGCTCATCCCACTTAGTAAGTGGGTTATAACCCCAGTCATTTACATGGGATAAGGAGCGGGTTAATCCACTTATAATTGGGGTGATAACTCACTTACGAGCCGTGGGATGAACCATACAAAACATGTGGAAAAGCCTGTGGGGAAACCCGTGAAGGAAAATGATCTACTTTCATGACGAGTGGACCATGCTTTTTTGTTAGCTCTGTTCGCTCACAGGAGAGTAATATGGTGACTCATTGCGTGGATAACTCCAATTCAATGCCGGTTGAGTCATGAAAGATCAGTAACCCATATCTTACTATAATAAATCTTATTCATTTAAGACATGGATGAACATGCTTTAATATGCTCTTATCTAATAAGAGTTCTCTTAAACTGATTATATGGATTAAGTTGATTTTAGCCACCATTCATGCCATCAATATGGTTCAATTATGCCAAAATGGATTCTGCCAACTATTTTTTTTCTGGGAGTCTTGTAGAAATGGATTTTGCAAATTGGAATGTATTTTACCTAGGCGAAGTCATGAGCCCTCAAAACATGATTCAATATTAGTATCCAAAAACATGGCCATTTAGCTGGTTTAGCCTGCAGTTCAAAAAAAGGCAGAACATTCCAAAACTATTCATCCATTTAAATCATTTTTTCTGCTGCACCATATCAGATAAAATAATAGTAAACTGCCATATTTACAAACTTGATGTTGTGAGTTACTGAGCCAGCAGAACTATGGCAGAATATTCCTCTTCACATCATAATCCGTGGTATCCCATACTTAAGTTGGAGCAAAGTTCACTCGGCGAATTCTATGCTTAATATTGATATAGTTTGGACTGTCCCCCCCTACACTAACAGTGGAATAATGGATTTTAATTGTAACTTCCCAGCCAAAATTGCACAACAACCCAGGGACCAAAACCACAAACAATTTGAGAGGCCCAATCTTCTCAATCCAAATTTTTCTGATGCTGAACCGAAGTATGAAGTCACTCTGGAGGCAGCCTACTTGGAACCAGATCAAATCTACACTGGATCCCCTGGTAAACCCTTCTGATGTGTTTGGATCCATTGGGTTGACTGCTGGTATCCCTGATCAGCCTGACTGGTCTCATTGGGAAACTCCTTGATCTATGGCCTCTTCAATTTCCAATTTGGGTGGGTTCTATCATTCCACTATTGCCAATTGCACTTAATTTCTGACATACCTTCTGGCATTTAATCTGGCAAATCTTCTGGCATTCTATTTGGCATATCTTCTGACATTCTATCTGACATATCTTCTGACATTCTACCTGGCATATCTTTTGCAATCTGTTCTGGCATATCTTCTGGCACTCTATCTGGCATATCTTCTGGCATATCTTCTCACATTCTATTTGGCATTCTATCTGGCAAATCTTCTAGCATTCTATCTGGCAAACATTCTGGCACTCTATTTGGCATATCTTCTGTCATTCTAAATATCTGGCATTCTATCTGGCAATTCTTCTGGCATTCTGGCAAACATTCTGGCACTTTATCTGGCATACCTTCTGGCATTCTATCTGGCATACCTTCTGGCACTCTATCTGGCATATCTTCTGGCATTTTATCTGGCATATCTTCTGGCATTCTATCTGGCATATCTTTTGCAATCTGTTCTGGCATATCTTCTGACATTCTATCTGGCATATCTTCTGGCATATCTTCTGACATTCTATCTGGCAAATCTTTTGGCTTTTTTATTTGGCAAACATTCTGGCACTCTATCTGGCATATCTTCTGGCATATCTTCTGGCACTCTATCTGGCATTCTATCTGGCAAATCTTCTGACATTCTATCTGGCAAACATTCTGGCACTTTATCTGGCTTACCTTCTGGCATTCTATCTGACATTCTATCTGGCATACCTTCTGGCATTCTATCTGGCATATCTTCTGGCATTTTATCTGGCATATCTTCTGGCATTCTATCTGGCATATCTTCCGACATTCTACCTGGCATATCTTCTGCAATCTGTTCTGGCATTCTATCTGGCACTCTATCTGGCATTTCTTCTGACATTTTATCTGGCATTCTATCTGGCAAACATTCTGGCACTCTATCTGGCATTTTTTCTGTCATTCTATCTGGCATTCTATCTGGCAAATCTTCTGGCATTCTATCTGGCAAATCTTCTGGCATTCTGGCAAACATTCTGGCACTTTATCTTGCATACCTTCTGGCATTCTATCTGGCATACGTTCTGGCATTCTATCTGGCATATCTTCTGGCATACCTTCTGGCATTCTACCTGGCATATCTTCTGGCATTCTATCTGGCATATCTTCTGCAATCTGTTCTGACATATCTTTTGGCACTCTATTTGGCATATCTTCTGGCATATCTTCGGACATTCTATCTGGCATTCTATTTGGCAAATCTTCTGGCATTATATCTGGCAAACATTTTGGCACTTTATCTGGCAAACAATCTGGCATTCCATCTGGCATTCTATCTGGCATATCTTCTGGCATATCATCTGGCAAATCTTCTGGCATTCTATCTGGCAAACATTCTGGCTCTTTATCTGGCATATCTTCTGGCATATCATCTGGCAAATCTTCTGGCATTCTATCTGGCAAACATTCTGGCTCTTTATCTGGCATATCTTCTGGCATTCTATATGACATTTTATCTGGCATTCTATCTGGCATATCGTCTAACATTCTATCTGGCATATCTTCTGGCATATCATCTGGCATTTTATCTGGCATATCTTCTCGCATTCTATCTGACATT